ACAGTTTTAACTGGTCGTCAACAAGTCTTTTCTATTCCTTATCATACTTGTATGCGATCGATTTTTTTTCTTCACCAATTCTACTATGATCATCGAATTATTTTGCTTTCGATGAGAATATTCATGGATCTTCATGGAATCATTACTTACAGGTGGCAGTTTATGATTCATTCACGTTTATTACGAATGTCAGAACTTACAATATCAACACGAATCGATCGTCGAATATGGATGAACACATTTTGTTTCTCTATTGGGCGGTTTCATTTTTCGTCGTGCGTTTTATCTTCCTTACATTTGTGCAAGTTTTGTTTTCTTTTGTTTTGTTGTTTATCTTCTCATAAGTTTTTTTGATCGATGAGCAGATGATGCGCTCATCTGTTGTAGGGAAGGAGGTGTTAGGATATATGGATGATTTCATATTTCTTTTTCTTCAGTTGTTACTATATGTTCTTACCCGTCTGACCTATTCTTCTTCACTGACGTCTTTTGTTGTAACTCTACTTGTTGTTCATTTTCAATCAGACGAAGAAACTCTCAACTTCTTCCCTGACTAGTCCAATTTTCCCTTCCTATATGTACTTCGTGTTTTTCCAATAAAGAAAAAGGCAAGCTGACATTGTAACTCTTAGTCAAACATTAAAATAGATCTGATAAACTTTATTTATTACAAGTTCAATAATTATTTAAATTCAATCAATAATTTTAAGGTAAGCTTCCATGAAGATTTAAAATATGTTCAAGAAATCTTTCAACAAGGCTGTGGGGGTGTGGATGTGAGAGTGGGAGTGAGTGTTGGTATGGATGTGAGTGAAGAAAATAGATGTACACTCACACCCACACTCCATACCCACATCCACCACCTACACCCACACCCTGTCTAAAATATAAATTTGAGAATATTTTTTATTAGTTGAAATAATAAAAATCTAAAACCGATTAATTGAAAAATCTTTTAACGAGTTCATTTATTTATCTCTGATTATTGATCGTCACGAAAATCATCTATCGGATTTATCTCTCGATTTCTAATAGAATTTTTTTGTCTTGTAAGTCTCTTGTTCATTTTAATGCAAACTATTTATTTGATGTACATCTAATTCCAATCTATAATATCAATTCTATATCGATCAACTCTCAACACACATTTATTATTAAAATATAGTTCAAATCTGATTGTTAATCAGGTTGATTGTCTCTTTCCTATACAAATCAATATGAGTAAAACAAGTCTGACGGTTCTCTTATAATAGATTCTAACGTAACATTTAGCTAAGTACTGTTTTTTATTGTCATCAGTCTCCTCCGTCTATTACCGAAAGTAAACTAATCATAGTTGACTTCTAGCTAGTCGCCGCTACACTGATCAAAAAGGTGACATTGACAAATTGAAATAGGTTTCAAATTAGTTTCAATTGTCGAAAGGCTCTTTATTTTCAATGTATGAAGGGGGAAAAATGCAAAAGATAAAGTTAAAAGTTCCACTAAGAAAATCTTATGATGAAAACAATATGATGAAGGTTTGAGAAAGAAAAACAAATTTATTTTATGTTCGATTTGATAAGAAAAAGAAAAAGAAAAAGAAAAAGAAAAAAAAATTAATTTAAAAAAGTTTGTTGTCCAATAATTGAAATAAGATTATTTGTTGGTTTTGTTTGTTGTCATTGAACAATTGAATATAATAATTTAATTAATTGATTAGCTCGAGATATGAATGTTAAATATTGATTAAAAGAAATTGTTTGATAATCATTCGATGTAATATGTTGATTTGCTGTTAATGATGCTAGATTTTGAGAAGATTTTGAATATCGATTTTCATTTAATGAATTACATAAGTCATTTAATTGTAATTTATTTTCTAAAAAAATTCTTTCATCAATTATACAATTTGTTAAAACAATTTCATCATATTAACGATTTATATCATGAATTGTTTCTAAGTAATTAAATTCATTTTAAAAATCTTCTTTTTTTATCAAGACGTTTAAATATATCATTTTTTAAATGTTGTTCGATTATTGATCGACACATATCCGATGAACAACAATACATCATACATAATTTATCGATTATGCTCCCATCATTTGAACATAAATCATTTAAACAACAACCTTAACAAAAAAAACAACACTTCTTTTCTTTTTTTTTATATATTTTTATTCAATTTATTAGATTTAGTTTAATTAAATTATTTCGATTATTATATATTTATTCGAACGTTTTATTTATTTGTTTCGAATAAATAATTCACATTAGTTTGATTTTGTTGAGAACAAATATCGATTTCTAACATAATAAACAACTCGAACAATAGATATTCGATTTATGAAACTCTACAGTTGATCTATGATCGTTTCAACGAAACATTTTCCATAGTTTAATTAAGAAAAAACAAGTAGAATAGATTGAATAACTCGTTTAATATGATGAAATATAATGTCTAATATGAATAGATCTTTATATTTAATTTTATTGAATAAATTAAAATAAATCGTTTATCATAGATATATATATATATATATATATATATCTTACCAAATAAAATAAATATTTAAATTGCTCATCTATTAAACAATGAATAGGGGTGCCGGCTTAGCATTAGTATTAGGAAAATGCTAATACTTTGTATTAAAATTAAAAAATTAACTTAATGCTTTGGTATTAGTGTTGAAAAAATAATTTAATACTTTGGCATTAGCATTGAATTAAAATTAGTATTAAATTAGCATTAGTTAATACTTTTTTCTTAGGCATTAGCATTAAGTAATACTAATTTAATACTAATTTTAATTTAATGCTAATGCCAAAGTATTAAATTATTTTTTTAACCCTAATACCAGAGCATTAAATTAATTTTTTAATTCTAATACAAAAGTATTAAAATTAGCATTAATTAATGCAATGCTAATGCTAAGCCGGCACCCCTAACAATGAATATATTTCATGAAAATTCTCAGAAGATTTAATAGATATTTATATTTCTATCGTATATTAAGAATATATATTTATATATGAATATAACCATTATTTGTAAATCTTATTTATTATTATATTATTTATAAATGATTATTAATCGATTGTTCATAGTTATAACTATAATATCGTTTAAACGATTAAATTGTTAAACATGATTTGAAATAATCATTAATCATATTCGAATATTTACGTTTTCATCGATTAATAATCATATTGACAAGAAAATAGGTTTTTTTTCTAAGTTATCGATATATATATATTCGATAAAAAAATATTTGAAATGATTTTTATTTAATAATATATTGATAAATCTCAAAATAAAATGTTTAATTAAATTTAATTCTATCTCGAACAATCGAAAATTGAATTTGTTTCAGATCTTATTTCAAAGACTTTTAAATAAAAATCCATATTATGAAATAGATTTTTATTTTAAAGAATTCCAACGAGTTTTTAAAAGTAAATTATTTTTTATATAGAAAATAAAACATTTAAAGTTTAAATAAAATAAACAAAAAAAAATCTCTTAAGAAATCTTCATTTGATAAGAAGTGAAAAAGAAAATTTTTAATTGAAAAAAACTAAAATAAAAAATGATATATATAAATAAAATCTTCTAATAGAGTGTTACCTTTAAGTATATAATCTAATTTAGCTAATTTGACATAATCATAAATAAAAGAAAAAACTAGAAATAAGTAAATGAAATGAAGCAATAAGATCATTGA